TTGCATATATTTTTAACACACTGTAAACCATTTAGAAATTTTCTTTGTCTTTGAATCTCTCTTTACTGTATATCTCTCTTTTTCTGACCACATGAGTCTTTAATTTACCAAGCAATATCAGTAGGACTAAAGCTGTGGCTTTGACGGCTGGATCCAGCCCATTCCTTAGCTTTCCAGCCTCATGGCGGAGGTACTGGCTGTAGCCGCCTTTACTGCCACAACTCTATGGCGTTTCAAGGTCCTTGCCAGCAAACAAGCTACAACACTCAAATGCTCTCTCTGTAGCTGACCTCCTGCCTCAAAGAGTCAGAGTTTGCCCTGTCAGGACGGCCCAGAAAGCCGGCATTTTAATACAGCACAACATTTTCCTGCTACGGCTGAAAACAGACAAGCATGCAGTCAGCTTTCCAATACCATTTAAGTGTTTCGTGGCAGGACCTCTTAATGAGCTGCAGGGTTTTGCAGCTAAAGCTGAGTCAGGAAGCCTCTCTTAGATGAGAGCACTTGCTTGCTTCTAGCAAGCAGAGTAGACCCGAGAAATTGTTGATACCAAGAAAACATGCTTCACTCTTTCCCAAGCTTTCTCAGGCTTTCAGTGGATTCAGTTGTCCACACGTCTGGGCGCCAAAAATGAGAGTAGCAGCGCAGGCTGCCCAAGAGCAAAGAAAGCCCAGATGAGCTGGAACAGCAGTTGAGGATTTGGAAAGAGACTGTTAGGAGAGGAAGGTGTACAAACAAACGGAACAGGGAAATGCGAGGGGCAGGAGCACAGCCTTTGTAAACCTGGATGAGACGCATGGTATGCGACAGCCCTGATTCAGACAGATTTCATAAGGAAAATAGCAAGTGTGTCTGGGATCGAACTTGGACCCAGAAGTATCCATTCACAAGCCTTTATCTGGAGACCAGAGGCAATGGCTAAATGTCCCTCAAGATAGCCTGGGACCAAACGGTGGGGGGTTGGGGTACCCCTGTGCAGCATGTCTCCCACACAGAGGAACTCCAAGGGACAGGGACTGTCCCCACTGAATGGGCCAGAGTTGTTTGGCAGGCAATCCAGAGGCCAGAAGAGGTCCTGGACCTCTTATAGGCATTTTGGTTTGGGAATGAGTAGCTTACCAAGCAGTCGTCAAGGTGAGGTAGGAGGGAGAGTAACTTTCCCATTTGTTCTCGGTAAAGACTCAACTCTACCTGGGTTCAAGACCAAGTTAAGCATTTTGAAAATCCCGTTTGGAGGTTCCCCTGCTGATGTAATAAGTCAAATCAAACTAAATTAATAAATTAATAAGACCAGATTTAATAAACAGAGCAGAGCAACTCCCAGGTGACTCTCGGAAAGGCAGGAGAGAAATCCCGTGGCAGGGTCGAGAGACTAGGTTTAAAATACCCTGTAGGTGTGGTCTCAAGCAGCTCCAGGGGAAGAGCTGGCCCTTGGTGGGCTTTCTGAGGGTTGGGGTCTGGAATGGGGGAGTGAGAGCAGAGCAGAGATTCCCAGCAGTCCTCCAGCCTGTTTCTGCTCTGAAGGTTGCACCAGCACTCAGCTATAAGGAAAAGGCGCTGTTCAGATGAGCATCGTCTTCTCAACCAAGACTGTCTGAGGCAGTGGAACTCTGACTTCAGAACATCTTTCCCAGAATAGCACCAGAAGCAGAAATGTCAACAAAGTCTCCTCCTCCACATCCATCCCACCAGTATCTACCCCACATCCCTCAATGGCCCAGAAGGCTGCTTCCTAGTATCTTTTAGGGATGGTTTTTGACTCTAGGGGAGGAAGTACCAGTGACGAATGTACAGTCCCAGGAAAGGAAGAGGGAGAGATGCACCAAAGGCTCCTGTGGAAGAGGCACAGGCTCCAGCACCCTTCACATTGTACAGATTCTTCCTTGGACATGCTGAAACTACCTAACCAAACTGGTTATTAACTGGACTGTTACTGCGGTGGTGTATAATAGCGCAGTAGGCTGAAAGGCAAGTTACAGCCTTGCTAGTTTTCCTGGGGTACAAGCTTCCACCACAGCCACCAGCTCCAAGTGTAAAGTTGGGAAAAGATGCACATGGAGCTCTTGTGAGTCAGTCAGAGCAGCTGTCCCCATGTGTTGCATGTGTCATTGGTATAAAAGTCTGCTGTGAAGGACATTGTCGCTAAGACACAAAGGCAACCCACTAACTGGGAGAAGATCTTCACCAACCCTGCAACTGACAAAGGTCTGATCTCCAAAATATATAAAGATCTCAAGAAACTAGACCGTAAAAGGCTAACCAACCCAATTATAAAATGGGGCATTGAGCTGAACAGAGAATTCTCAACAGAAGAACTTCAAATGGCCAAAAGACACTTAAGGTCATGTTCAACTTCCTTAGCGATCAGGGAAATGCAAATCAAGACAACTTTAAGATACCATCTTACACCTGTCAGAATGGCTAAAATTAAAAACACCAATGATAGCCTTTGTTGGAGAGGATGTGGAGAAAGGGGTACACTCATCCATTGCTGGTGGGAATGCAAACTGGTGCAACCACTTTGGAAAGCAGTGTGGTGGTTTCTCAGGAAATTCGGGATCAACCTACCCCTGGACCCAGCAATACCACTCTTGGGAATATACCCAAGAGAGGCCTTATCATACAACAAAAGTATATGCTCTACGATGTTCATAGCAGCATTGTTTGTGATAGCCAGAACCTGGAAACAACCTAGATGCCCTTCAATGGAAGAATGGATGAAGAAAGTATGGAAAGTACTACTCAGCAGTAAGAAACAAGGACTTCTTGAATTTTGCATACAAATGGATGGAAATAGAAAACACTATCCTGAGTGAGGTAAGCCAGACCCAAAAAGAGGAACATGGGATGTACTCACTCATATTTGGTTTCTAGCCATAAACCAAGGACATTGAGCCTATAATTAGTGATCCTAGAGAAGCTAAATAAGGAGAACCCAAAGAAAAACATATAGGCATCCTCCTGAATATTAACCTTCAGCAAGCGATGAAAGGAGACAGAGACAAAGACCCACATTGGAGCACAGGACTGAAATCTCAAGGTCCAAATCAGGAGCAGAAGGAGAGAGAGCACGAGCAAGGAACTCAGGACCGTGAGGGGTGCACCCACACACTGAGACAATGGGGATATTCTATCGGGAACTCACCAAAGCCAGCTGGCCTGGGTCTGGAAAAGCCTGGGATAAAACCGGACTCTCTGAACATAGCGGACAATGAGGACTACTGAGAACTCAAGAACAATGGCAATGGGTTTCTGATCCTACTGCACGCACTGGCTTTGTGGGAGCCTAGGCAGTTTGGATGCTCAACTTACTAGACCTGGATGGAGGTGGGGGTTCCTTGGACTTCCCACAGGACAGGGAACCCTGATTGCTTTTCGGGAGGGAAATGGGACGCGGTGGCGGGGAAGAGACAGAAATCTTTAATAAATAAATAAATTTAAAAAAAAAAGTCTGCTGTGGAACCACTCTTTGATGACAAAAAGCGTCCGTGCATTCCTAAGCACCGGCAGAGGAAGGCACCTTTTCTGTGAGCGTCCACGGGACCCTCCCTGTTGTACTTTACACTGACAGGCATTCACATAGGAAGGATGTGCCTAAGAGCATTAGCAGCCTCGGTGTCTGCTCTCCATTCTTTTGGTAGGGGGACAACTTATCATTTTCTTATTCTTTGGTCATGAGAAAGAAGTTATATATGTAGTTTATTCAAAGATCTGTTCAGTTATCTGTCACTAAAGCAGCCTAGGAATGATGTCTTGTTTTCTCTAGGTTTTTTATTATTATTCTTTATTTTTAGACATATTTTATTTTGTTTATTTGAGTATTTTGCCTACATGTGTGTATGTGCATCATGTGAGTGCCTTGTGCCGAAAGAGCTCCAAAGATGCCCTGGAAATTGGAATCCTGATGGTTTTAAGTCAGCACGTGGGCGCTGGAAACTAAACCCAGGTCTTCAACAACAGCAGCCAGTGCTCTGAGCAGCTGGGCCATCTCTCCAGTCCACTCTTTTGTTTCATTTTGCTTTTTTGTTTTGTTATGGATTTTATTCTTTTTTTGAACATAGATCTTTTTGTACAATATATTCTGATCACAGTTTCCCCTTCCCCAGCTCCTCCCAAGGGTTTCCTCATCTACCTTCCTTCTGGGTCTACACCAATTCTGTCTCTCATTACAAAACAAACAGCATCTAAAGATAATAATAAAATAAGATAAACAACCTGAAATAGAACAAAACAAACTTTGTTCTCCCCCTTGAGAATGTAAAGTTGTAGCATAAATACCAAAATAAAGAAAATGGTCTGCTTGTTTTGAAACCGAAAAGAACAACTAAAGAAAAAGTTGCCTGTCATTCATAAGGTAGGAGAGATGTATGGTCTCACCCCATCTTAAAAATAAAAATTAAACATTTTTGGGTTTTTTTTGAAATTTATATTACCTGGCATTTTGAATTCTATTATTTTCCTTAATGCTGCTTATATAATCTATCTATTTCTCATTAGAAGGAAGCATTTATTTAGTTTTACATAACCATACTCATACTGCTGTCTTCTCACTAGGAGATACTGTGTGTAAGTACTCAGTGTCTCTATGCAGGAGGCCCAGAGTAGATGTCGGTAACATTTGCATAGGCGGTGACAGACCAAGCATCTCGGCTGTGCCAAGGGAGTAATGTAGAATGAGAATTTTTAAATCAAATTAAGTCTGCAAGCGTCTTCATGGTTCTTTGATATGAGTCAGGGACTTATAGAGAATAGACTAGCCTCAGACTCTATAGGCAAGACTGACCTTGAACTCCTGATCCTCCTGTTCTTATCTCCTGAGTGCTGGGATTACAGGCCCAGGCCAGTGGCTCTCGTGTATTCCTTCCCAGAGCCACTGAAGACCATCTAAGGCACACAGCTCTTTTTAAATTCTAAACCACTGAGGCACATTATAGAAACACTTTCATGAACTTACGTTTTTTAAAATGTTTTCCTTTTTTTTTACTTCCTAAAAAATATAGCAAAGCCATCCTAAGAATCCAAATGACAAACACCGTAACAAAAAATGCAAAGATCCCAAACCCCGGGTGAAGAAGTTGAAGTACCACCAGTACATTCCACCAAACCAGAAGGGGGAGAAGAGTGAGCCGCAGATGGACTCCAACTACGCCCGCCTACTGCAACAGCAGCAGCTCTTCCTGCAGCTGCAGATCCTGAGCCAGCAACAGCAGCAGCAGCAGCAACAGCAGCAGCAGCAGCAGCACTACAACTACCAGACCATCCTGCCTGCACCCATCAAGTAAGCCTGTGCTCAGGATTTGTCCTGCCATGACTTGGACCCTGGCTTTGGGAGGACCCCAGGTTACAGAAGGCTGAGTGTGGCCAAGTACTCTGCTCAGGAACCGCCCTTGCTTGGCTGCTGTCCAAGCTCATCACAGTGTCTGTGCTCCCAAAGTGAATGTGGCCTGCCTTCTAGTCCAACATTTGTCCTCCAGTAGGCTCAGCTTTTCACGGCTGTTCAGGAAAGATGCAGCCATTGTCAGTGTCAAGTGAGAAAACAACAGGATGCACACCCACAGACGGTGAAGAGGCATGGGTATAAAGGCAGGAGTGGTCAGGGAAATTTTTATGGAAATTTCCGCATGGAGGGCTCTAAAAGGCTCTTCCAAACAGAAAGAGACAAGCTCTGGTAGAGAAAGGGCATGCAATAGTGGTGAGCAAAGCTGCCTGATGGGGACCATGTATGATTCCTGAGAAAGGTGAAAGGAAGGAAGTAGAATCCGTGCTGCAGGAGACTGTTCCTCTTGGCAGCTAGTGCCATTTCTTAGACAATGGTGACCTGGTCGGACCAAGTCACTAAAAACAACAGCTGATAATAAAGGAGACTCTGGAACTGTTCAGGGGCAAAGGGCAGTGATGAGGTAATAAGAGGGATAGCAGGTGACTCACAGAGAAGATTTTACATGCCCAGGAACAGAGAAGGGTGACATTCCATAGCTTGCAGCCTATTGTTCGGGTCCAGAGCAGGCAACTTTGTGCCCTCAACTCATTGATTGAAGAATATTTTAGATATCAATTCCAATATGGCTTTTCTGAAACTCAGCAAAAATCTCATTTCTCATTTCCCCCTTATCCAGCTCTGGAGAGCTGGGAAGGACAGAGGAGCTTGTCATTGGGAAGATGTTGAGAGCAAACTGTTCCATATCATAGGGAATGATTATCACTTTTCTCCTCTTACAATAAGGATTAGACCATCTCGGGAAAGACATGCCTAAAACAGCATGGAGGTGGGGAAGTAATTTTGTAACATGTTATTATTTAAGAGCAAGCAAGCCCAAGTAAGCTATTATGGTAGAACTAATCCAGGGAAGGCAACAGCTGGGTCCTGACCCAAGCAACTGTCTCAAAAAGCAAAAAGACAAAAACCCCGAAGCTCTGCAGTGGGGTTCTACCCATCCCTGAGCCTCCTTGTTATTTACAGAGTAAGCCTGGGCTTCAGATAAGCCCCATGTGGCCTCGCAGCAGTGAAAGTTATGGAAGTTGTCAGAAGCCTAGAACCTCAGGTCTCTCATCTGTGATTTAGGTGAAAAGAAAATTCAGCTTTTAAAATAATAGAAGTTAAACAGTGGCTCCTCAGCACGGATATGGAATCTCAGCCATAAAGGTAGCAGAAAGGATTGCATTTGTGTTTATGCACACACACGGGTGCAGGTCAGAAGTCAGCATCAGTCACTCTTCACCCTGTTTGCTGAGGTAGTGTCTCTCATCGAACCCAGCGCTCACTGAGTTGGCCTATTAGCTTGGCTAGCAAGCTTCAGGGACCCTTATGCCTCCCCAGTGCAGTGATTAGGCAGACACCTCTGTGCCTAGATTTTCATGAAGGTGCTGGGACTCTGAACACGGGTCCTCAAGCCTGCATGGCTCTTCCCTAGCTAAGCCTTCTCTCTAGACCCATTAGTGATGCTTCACCAAAGAAGAAATAAAGGGTGGTTTGGGGTGGGGCATCAGGTAATAAAGTGCAGTATAGCTGTTCTGGGGTTTTGTTGTTGTTGTTGTTGTTGTTTGGGTTTTGGGGGGTGGGGGGTTGGCAGAGGTCAGGTTTTTTGTTTGGTTTGGTTTTCGAGAAAGGGTTTCTGTATGTGACAACCCTGGCTGTCCTGGAACTCGCTTTGTAGGTCAGGCTGGCCTTGAACTCACAGAGATCTGCCTGCTAAAATTAAAGGAGTGTGCCACCACTGCCCAACTTCACAGTACAGCTGTTCATGGAGAGGTTGATTCAGAAAAATGTCCCAGAATGCTCCTTGTAGGGCCAATATTGAAAGACAATAAAATCAAAAGCACCAGTTGGGTTCTTACAACTCTGAGGTGAGACTTTAAGTTCTGTTTGAAAAAAGACTAATGATACATAAAACACCGAGCATTTTGCCTAGACCTCAAAAAACTTCATTTTCAAGACTAGGCATTTAACTGCAACCCACAGCGGGCTAGCTGTTGGAAGGCGTGGGTGTAGATGTGCTAACAGGTAATGTCCAGCACGTGCCTCTTACGCTTTCCTTCCGAGGGCTCCTCAGCCAACCCCAGTCCTTGCCCTTTTCTGTATCAAGCTTAGAGCCACCTTCTACTTTTCTCCACACCAACAGACAGTGGAACCTCTAGGAATTGACTGGGGTAGAATGCATTTGATATTCCCATGATCCTGAGTCTTCTTCCCATATGTCTCCGCAATGAATTCTCCTTGTAAGCCGCTAGATTGTTAGTAGAGCAGCACCTAGAAGCAGCTTGTTGTGAACGCTGTCATTTCGCTTTCTTTTGAAGAAATGACAAGAACAGCAGTAGTAGCACGACTGTACCTGCACGGAGACCAGGACCTCTGCCTTCCAGCTTGGATGACTTAAAGGTAACAATCCCCCCTGCGTACCTTGCACATGAGAGAAAGACCAGGTTTGCCTGTTATATGCGTAGTTTGCCAGAGATGGACAAGAGTAGGAGTGTTTTCTTTTTATTTCTGTTGAGTTTTATGGTTCAAATAACTGATAATTCTCATTTACTGCCACATGTCTTATCTGAGCACCGTGAAAAGAGACCACTTCTGTGTAGCAATTCCTACAGTCTTGACTGTTTTCAGCTACTGCTCATAGGCTTCTGTGCCTCCTCTGTAGACTTAAGTTTGTTATGCTGAGTACAGATGGAGAAAGTCTAAGTTTATATGTCAGGTTCAGACGTCTCCTGGGAGTAGCAGCCCATCCATCCTTCTGGGAACAAGGAAGGGAATTCTGCTGTTTATGCACAAGAGACTGGTGAAACCAGATATCTGATGTTGTTGGGGTTTTCTGTCCTGCCTGGTTCCCACAATCATTAAGTCCCAAAGAAATCACACAGAGGTGTGCATTTGTTATAAACTGATTGGCCCATTAGCTCAGGCTTCTTATTAACTCTTACATTAGCCCATTATTCTACTATATGTCAGCCACATGGCTCGGTACCTTTTTCAGTGAGATAGTCACATCTTGCTTCTTCTGTGTCTGGGCCGGGGACTGCAGAGGAATGGGCTTCCTTCTTCCCAGAATTCTCCTGTTCTCATTGACCTGCCTCTACTTCCTGTCTGGTTGTCCCGCCTATACTTCCTGCCTGGCTGCTGGCCAATCAGCGTTTATTTAAAATATAATTGACAGGATATAGACAGTTGTCCCACACCAATCTGATCTGCTTTTGCCTCCAGGTGTCAGAGCTGAAGACAGAACTCAAACTGAGGGGTCTGCCAGTGTCAGGAACCAAACCAGACCTCATTGAACGCCTGAAACCCTACCAGGAAGTGAGCAATAGTGGCCTTGCTGCTGGTGGTATTGTGACCGTGTCATCAGCAGCTATTGTCACCAGTAACCCAGAGGTGACAGTGGCACTGCCCGTCACAACACTGCATAATGCCGTGACTAGTTCTGTGTCCACTTTCAAGGCAGACTTGCCGCCTGCTGGATCCAGCAACGTGGCCCACGTCGAAAGTGCCCATTCCCCTCTACCCATCTCACCATCACCCTCGGAGCAGTCCAGTCTCAGTACCGAGGACACGAACATGACAGATACCTTCACTGAGATCATGAGCATGATGTCCCCTTCCCAGTTCCTGTGTGCCTCCCCCCTGAGGGGGACAGGCCACGAGGACAGCCTGAGCCCCACAAGTAGCACCCTGTCAGCCCTAGAACTGGACGCTGCTGAGAAGGATCGCAAGCTTCAAGAGAAGGAGAAGCAGATTGAAGAGCTGAAGAGGAAACTGGAACAAGAACAGAAGCTTGTAGAGGTCCTCAAGATGCAGCTTGAGGTGGAAAAGCGAGGGCAGCGACCACCAGACCCTCAGCCCAGTGGCCCCTCACAGCCCCTTAGTACATCAGATCAGATACATGGCAGTGTCGGGTCCTCCTCCATCAAGGATGAGGCCTCACTTCCTGACTGTTCCAGCCCCCAGCATCCCATCTCCACAGGTAGCCAGACCCTTGTTGCCAAAAAGGCTGTGGTCATCAAACAGGAGGTCCCCATAGCTCAAGCCGAGCAGCAGAGTGTTGTCTCGCAGTTCTACATGAGTTCCCAAGGACAGCCACCTGCCCTTATTGCTCAGCCTCCGGCCTTACTGACCACGCAGACCACTCAGCTGCTGTTGCCGGTGTCCATCCAGGGCTCAAATCTCACTTCAGTGCAGCTTCCAGTAGGCAGCCTCCAGCTCCAGGTATGAAGTGTGTCTCACAGTGTTGCTTTGCAGTGCGTGGGAATGGTGCAGCTAGCTTGAACCGTTGAGCAGCTACTGCACGCTGTGATTGTAGAAGGCATAGTGTGGGTGGGTCAGACAGGGCTAGCTAGCATGGCTAGCACTGTATACATAATAAAAAGAAGCAGGGTGGCCTCCTGTTCTAGCCCTGTTCCCTTGGATGCACATGTCTGGCTGGAGAGCTGCTCAGTAATTCAGAGCACATGCTGTTTTCCAATAGGACCCAGGTTGAGTGCCCAGCACCCACATCAGGCAGGTCACAACTGTCTGTAATTCCAGTTCCAGGGTATCCTATACCCTCTGATTTCCTTGGGCACCTGCACACATGTGCACATAAGCTCACAAAGGCGCACAAACATACACATAAAAAGTAAATTTTTAAAAATAAAGATTAATGGCATTGGCATAGGCTGTGTGTTTTGAGTACTTCACCTCCTGTCCTGGTTCTAAGTGACAGCCCATTTTTAAATAAAAAGCCTAAGGACAGATCTGACATGTAGACCCATGTCTTCTGGCTGAGATGGGGGTGTCATATTCTTGGGAGGTACCATTCACATGAGAAGGCTTCAGCTGAGGGAATCACGGAATGGGGCCGATCTGACCGCAGGGACCTGCTTGTTGGCTTATTGCTCTGTGTAGCACTTCTCATGGATGTTACCCAGATGTGGTCATAAGGAAAACAAAGAGCCATTTGAGCCAATGCTTCTTTAATTCGCCTAATACCTGTGACAATAAGTTCGCACCTGAGTTTAGGAGGCAGAGCTCAGACACCTTTGGCAAGTACAAAACAATCTAACTCTCCTGCTTTGTCTGTAGAATACTTGAGTCAGAAGTCGATTCTCTAATGTATCTTGGGGGGAAACTGATCTAAACATTTTGTTAAAGTTGATACAAGAGCAGAACCTGTTTTCTACTGGGCCTCTGTATGGCTATGTCCCCATCTCTGGCTGTTCACAGACTGTGCATGCTGCAAGCTTAAACAAGGATTGTGGGCAGTTGAGTATCACAGTGTTCCTTGGTGCTCTTAAATGGGCCACAGACTTGACTGTTATGTGTAGAGCTGCCTTGTTTCTGTTTTCTCCCCATCTCCAGAGAAAGAGGAAAGAGAAAATGTTTCAGGACAAAACATGTGTGCAGCACAGTGTCACATGGCACCCAATTCATGATAGTTTTTTATATATGTTTCTAGCAGTAAATAAACAAATTTGAAAATAATTAACTGGGCAGTGGTAGCTCACGCTTTTAATCCCAACACTCAGGAGGCAGAGGCAGATGGATCTCAGAGTTCAAAGCCAGCCTGATCTACACAGCTAGTTCCGGGACACCCAGGCTTCACAGAGAAGTCCTGTCTGTGGGGAAAAAAATGAGAAAATAATTGCCAAAGATGAGATGAGCCAGAGTGTGTGGCCGTAGTCATCTGTGCTGTCTCCTCTCGGCTTCCCAGGCATCAGCTGCTTTGCATCATAAACTCCATCCCAGATGTGCTTCTTGACACTAAGAGTAGTCTTTGTTTTCTTCCTAGACCCCAGCACAAGGAGAAGCCCAGACTCAGCCTCAGATAGCCACTGCCACACAGATTCCAGCGGCACCACTGGCCCCAGCGCTGCCTCAGAAGCAGGAGGCCTTCCCGCAGCATGTGCTGGGTCAGCCCCAACCAGTCAGAAAGGTACAGTGTTCTGTCACCTATCCCCTGTCAGTTCCTTGGGAGGCTGCTGTGATACTCAGCCATGGAACAAACCTTAGGTCCAAAGCTACTCTGTCTGGGATTGGGGAAATCTTTACCTAGCCCTTTTCCAAGTAAGTTTCCAGGATATGTTTTTATAAGTCTGCTAAACTACATTACTGAGTTTCTTTTCTTTTTTTTTTTTTTTTTTTTTGTGGTTTTTCGAGACAGGGTTTCTCTGTGGTTTTGGAGCCTGTCCTGGAACTAGCTCTTGTAGACCAGGCTGGTCTCGAACTCACAGAGATCCGCCTGCCTCTGCCTCCCGAGTGCTGGGATTAAAGGTGTGCGCCACCACCGCCCGGCCACATTACTGAGTTTCAAGATACATTTCTTTTCTAATTAAATGTGCTATTCCTTGAGGAAAGATAGTTAAAGATACTTCTGGTATTTTTCAAGTAAGAACTTAATATGTGTGTATCTGAGAATCTCTGACCTATCATGAAGGAAGAAGTGGAAGGATCACTTGTGGGGCACACACCAGTAACCCCATCACTGGAAAGACTGAGTCTATAGTGTGAGGCCAGCCTGGGCTCCAATGCCGGCCCTTCTCAGAAAACAAGGGAGCTGGGATCTAACCTTGGGACCTTAAAACAGATGTTTTTACCCTGAGTCTGAATTCAGAGCTTCAGTCTTGAACAGCTTATTGGGCATCCTGAACCGTGCGTGCCGAGACAGATTGAAGGTGAAACTGAGGGCCCAAGTTATCAACTGACATGTTATCACAGCTGACATGTTATCACAGCTGACATGTTATCAACTGACATGTTATCACAGCTGACATGTTATCAACTGACATGTTATCACAGCTGACATGTTATCACAGCTGACATGTTATCACAGCTGACATGTTATCACAGCTGACATGTTATCAACTGACATGTTATCACAGCTGACATGTTATCACAGCTGACATGTTATCACAGCTGACATGTTATCAACTGACATGTTATCACAGCTGACATGTTATCACAGCTGACATGTTATCAACTGACATGTTATCACAGCTGACATGTTATCACAGCTGACATGTTATCAACTGACATGTTATCACAGCTGACATGTTATCACAGCTGACATGTTATCACAGCTGACATTATCACAGCTGACATGTTATCACAGCTGACATGTTATCACAGCTGATATGTTATCACAGCTGACATGTTATCACAGCTGACATGTTATCACAGCTGACATGTTATCACAACTGACATGTTATCAACTGACATGTTATCACAGCTGACATGTTATCAACTGACATGTTATCACAGCTGACACGAGTGAGAAAGGGAATAGAATCATACATGACCAAGACGAGAGACCACAGAATACCCATTTAGTGGAGCTACGTCAGCTTCATTTGACCTAGGGAAAGTGGTACAGAGAGTATAAATAAGGGCTTCTCACTTCATCTCAGAATACTGGAATTAGGAGTTGTTACTTCCAGAAAGAGATGTTTTGCCACATGGGAGGAGACTTACAAACAGTAGGTGCATTTGGAAACAGATATGTACACTCATGTACCCTCATGGCAAGAAGTACAGTACATCTCTAGAGGGATGGCTCAGCACTGAACACTCTTCCAGATTCAATTCCCAGGGTTCACATGGCAAGTCACAGCTGACTATCCCTCTAGTCCAAGGTGACCTGACACCTGCTTCTCACCTTCCTGGCACCAGGCATGCACGTGGTACATGCAGGCAAAATACTCGTGCACATGAAATATAAATAAGTGTAACAAAAATAAAGGCATGTATCTACTCATAGTGACACAAGGAAGAAGCCACCTTCTATCATTTTGGCAGTTAAACCAAGCACTGTAAGACACAGGTACTGAATAAGCAATGTGACTATTAGTTTATAAAAGTCATCACACTAACGGCTCTTCATGGAGCCACAGCAAACACTTCGGAGTTTCAAGGAAACTAGTTTCCCCTTCAACCTTTTGACACAGAAAGCAGTTCTTTAGAAGGAGTGGCTGCCCATGTGATGGGCATGTCAGTGGGAGGGCTTCAGCAGCTCCAGGATTAGGACTAAAGAGCTAGGAAATGCAAAAGGAAAAGATCTGCAGGCGGCTTCAGAAACAGAACAGAAGACTATATTTAATGCCAGCACCCTCTGAGCTAGAGCAGTGTGAGGTGTCCAGAGAGATGGCATATTTGGGTGTGAAGGCAGAAGTAAAATGGCTGCTATTAACTTACCTGTGTCCTGGAAGGGGACCAGGTCACCCCAGGAAAACTGCCTGAATACCCTTCTGTAAAATGCTGGCTACGCAGCACAAGAGGAACCCCACTCCACCTGTGTCTGCAGATGCAGTCCTGTTGGCAGCTCCCAGCAGAGACCCCATCTGCTCTAAAACGGTTTTCCTTCCTTCACTGTCACAGGTTTTCACCAACTCTGCACCAAACACAGTTCTCCAGTATCAGAGGCCACCTGGCCCAGCGACCCAGCAGCCCTTTGTCATTAAAAGCTCCAACCCTGTTCTTCAGTCCAGAAGCACCCCACTTGCACCCCTGCAAAATGGCCCTAGCCCAGCCAGCAAGGTAAGCATCTACAGTACTTACTGGCCATACAGTCATCCTGGCATCTGGAGTGTGTGCTTACTTAGTGTTGGAGTTAAGGGAGTGAACTAGGACTGACAGTGACTTGAATCTCTGGTCAGTGAAGAGGAGTCCTTCCACAAGACAGCCACCAACTGTCACTGCCCAGGTGCCCATGAGGTGACAGAGCCACTGCAGGGCCGGCAGGTGCTCCAGAGCTAACAAGTGTTTCCCTTTGCTGATGCAGCCTAGCTCACCCGCGCCAGTCCAGCAGTTTGTCGTCCAGCACTCTTTGTTTGGGACCCCAGTCACCAAGACAAAAGACCCACCTCGCTACGAAGAGGCCATCAAGCAGACACGCAGTGCCCAGCCAGCCCTTCCAGAGGTGAGTGAGGGCACAGTCATATCCCAGTCTCATTTCAGGTCATCCATCCTCTCGGGAACGTCCCCAGATAGAACTCAGAGATTCCAGCTGTTTTGAATTGGCATACAGTGTGGCCTCAGGCAAGGTGTTTACGTCTCTCTCCTTGGAGCCCTCCTGGGTCCCCTCTAACATGGAAGTAGCAGTGATTGTGCCCCTTAGTGAGCAGAGTGAGAGTTCTCAGTGACCACAGCACTGACTGACAAACGTAAACACATTTGAGCCCCTGCCTTTCAGAACTGAGAAAGCCCAGCACCCCAGAAGACCTGACAGCAGGTCACAGTGGATCCTAGCAAGAGTTCACATGAGCACACATGCACAACCCATACTCTGTGGAGTACTTGTCAGGGACACATGGTGTGCTGCTATGCTTGCTGTCTAAGGCATAAGGAAGCAAAGCCGTACTTCTAGCGAGCATCAAACAAGTGAGCTCCCTTAACTAAGGTGCAGGCACTTGGTCACTGCCTGTGAGGAAATGCTCAGTGACCACAAGATGCAGAGCAAAGACAGCTTTCCTAGTTGTCAAACATCCCAGACTCAACAGAGACCTCAGCTATGAAGGAAAAGACAGATTAAAAAAAAAAAAAAGTTTAAACACTGCTCTAAGAGTCTAAACAAATGGAAATTGGCCTGCCCTTCCCCACACTACATTTGAAAACAGCATCTCCAGGGAACAGAAATGAACTGCCAAATGATTTTAATGGTGGTGAGAAGGCAGCCCTAGGCCACCAAACACGAGTCTCATGAGCAGGCCCCCTGGCAGTGCCCACCCGATGCATGCACAACAGAAGAAGCAGCAGGAATATTGGGGCTCACATGTCACTGGGTGCAGTTCTAGGCTGCAGGCACCAGTTGTGCATCAGCACCGCTAAGCCCCTCTAGAAATCTTAAGGCTCCAGCAGGTCCTGCATGGGTCCCTGCTGGCTCCATCTTCCCACAGTAGCAGCTAGCACAGAACTGAGGCAGAGACTCAGCTCACTCAGTTCTTTGGTGGAGAGCCCATACTCAGTTCTTAGTGAGGAGGGGTCAGAGAGACTGCCACCTGGGTTCTGTATCAAGTGAGAGTGTTCTTTAAGAATAAATGTAAGCCAAGTGTGGTTGTGCACACTTTAATCCCAGCACTCAGGAGAATCTCTGAGTTCAAGGCCAGCCTGGTCTACAAAGCAAGTTCCAGGTCAGCTAGGACTGTTATACAGAGAAGCTATGTTTGAATAAATGAATGCATGAAATGTAAACTCTGGATAATTTCAAATAAAGCATAATCCGTGGGTTTTAAAACACAAAGACATAGGTTTTAAGTTGGGGAGAAAAGTTTAAATAGGAAACTTACTAGATATGCTGGTGGCAAAAGATTTCAACATATATTTTATCAAGGATGATAAGTGGCTAGTGAACACGTATGTGCAAACATCCAACCATCACTAGTCACCAGGGTAATGTATTAGAACCACATCTGCATCCCACAACTCCCCTCAAAAAGTGAAAATGTGAATGAAGAACACCTGCTGATACGGGCTACAGTCATACTGGGAATGAAGAACACCTGCTGATGGGGGCTACAGTCATACTGGGAATGAAGAACACCTGCTGATGGGCTGCAGTCATACTGGGAATGAAGAACACCTGCTGATGGGGGCTACAGTCATACTGGTCATACTGGGAATGAAGAGCACCTGCTGATGGGCTACAGTCATACTGGGAATGAAGAGCACCTGTTGATGGGCTACAGTCATACTGGGAATGAAGAGCACCTGCTGATGGGCTACAGTCATACTGGGAATGAAGAACACCTGCTGATGGGGGCTACAGTCATACTGGTCATGCTGGGAATGAAGAACACCTGCTGATGGGCTACAATCATACTGGGAATGAAGAGCACCTGCTGATGGGGGCTACAGTCATACTGGTCATACTGGGAATGAAGAGCACCTGCTGATGGGGGCTACAGTCATACTGGTCATACTGGGAATGAAGAACACCTGCTGATGGGCTACAATCATACTGGGAATGAAGAGCACCTGCTGATGGGGGCTACAGTCATACTGGTCATACTGGGAATGAAGAGCACCTGCTGATGGGGGCTACAGCCATACTGGGAATGAAGAGCACCTGCTGATGGGGGCTACAGTCATACTGGTCATACTGGGAATGAAGAACACCTGCTGATGGGGGCTACAGCCATACTGGGAATGAAGAGCACCTGCTGATGGGCTACAGTCATACTGGGAATGAAGAACACCTGCTGATGGGCTACAGTCATACTGGGAATGAAGAACACCTGCTGATGGGCTACAGTCATACTGGGAATGAAGAACACCTGCTGATGGGCTACAGTCATACTGGGAATGAAGAACACCTGCTGATGGGCTACAGTCATACTGGGAATGAAGAACACCTGCTGATGGGCTACAGTCATACTGGGAATGAAGAGCACCTGCTGATGGGGGCTACAGTCATACTGGGAATGAAGAACACCTGCTGATGGGCTACAGTCATTCTGGGAATGAAGAACACCTGCTGATGGGCTACAGTCATACTGGGAATGAAGAACACCTGCTGATGGGGGCTACAGTCATACTGGGAATGAAGAACACCTGCTGATGGGGGCTACAGTCATACTGGGAATGAAGAACACCTGCTGATGGGCTACAGTCATACTGGGAATGAAGAACACCTGCTGATGGGCTACAGTCATACTGGGAATGAAGAACACCTGCTGATGGGCTACAGTCATACTGGGAATGAAGAGCACCTGCTGATGGGGGCTACAGTCATACTGGGAATGAAGAACACCTGCTGATGGGCTACAGTCATACTGGGAATGAAGAACACCTGCTGATGGGCTGCAGTCATTCTGGGAATGAAGAACACCTGCTGATGGGCTGCAGTCATACTGGGAATGAAGAACACCTGCTGATGGGCTACAGTCATACTGGGAATGAAGAGCACCTGCTGATGGGGGCTACAGTCATACTGGGAATGAAGAACACCTGCTGATGGGCTACAGTCATACTGGGAAACAGTTTGATCATTTTCTCAGACATTAAATGTGTATTCACTCATTCCTAGAGTGACTTAAGAGAAAACAGGACATGGCTGTGCAAAGACTTGTATGCAGATTTCTATAGTAACTTTGTTAACACTCCAAAAGTGGGAACTCAAATGCCTATCAAGAAGTGAATGAATAGGAAAACAGGCATTTCCATACATGGAGTCGCAGTCAACAATAAAAAAGGATGAACTATCTATAAAGGTATGTACTACAACATGGATAAACCTCAGAATAATAACTTGCATAAAAGAATCCACCTCCTCTGTAACCGCAAGAAGTACATGTCTTAATCACTGACAGGAAACTGATCTGTTCTGAAAGAAAAAGGACATTGGTGTCCTGGAGATGAAGGAGCTTCCCAGGTGACAGAAATGGTGGTGATCTTGTTGATAGTTTCATGGACATTAAACTCCATGGTCTGTGGTGTCTTAATTAGGGTTTATTACTTTAAAGAGACACCATGACCACAGCAACTCTTTCTCATCAAGGAAAGCATAATTGAAGCTGGCTTACAGTTCAGATGCTTAGTCCATCATGGCAGGAAGCAAACCAGCAGACATGGCGCTGGAGAAGGAGCTGAGAGCTCTACATCTGGATCCACAGGCAGCAGGAAGAGAGTGAGACACTGTGCCTGGCTTGGGCTTCTAAAACTTCAAAGCCTACTCCCACTAACACACTTCCTCCAACAAGACCACACCTACTTCAACACTCCAACAAGGCCACATGTCCTAATCCTTTCAAATAACACTACTTCCTATGAGCCTTTGGGGCCATTTTTATGCAAACCACCACATTCCACTTCCTAGCCCCATAGCCATATGATAATGCAAAATGCATTCAGTCCAGCTTCAAAAGTCCCCATAGTCTATCACAGTCTCAGCACTCTAGAGTTCAAAATCTGATACTCCTGACAATCTCTTAATTATAATCTCCTATAAAATGAAAATTAAAAAAAGCAGATCACAAATTTTCAACATATAATGGCACAAAATATACATTACCATTCCAAAAGAATGGGAGAGAGCATAATGAGGAAATACTGGACCAAAGCAAGACCCAGATCCAGCTGGGTAAACTCCAAACTCTACATCTCCATGTCTGTTGTCAGTGTGCTCCTCAGATCTACAACCTCTTTCAGCTTCATTGACTGCAACACACGTTACTGCATGGTACTGGAGAAGGAGCCAAGAGTTCTACATCTGGATCAGCAAGCAACAGGATGAGAGAGTGAGCCACTGGGCCTAGCTTCAGCTTCTGAAACCTCAAAGCCTGCCCCCAGTGACACACCTACCCCAAGAAGGCCACATGTCCTGATCCTTTCATATACTGCACTCCCTATAAACCTGTGAGGGCCATTTTCATTTAAACTACCACATATGATAAATGCAAGTTTTGTATCAAGTAAACCTCAAAGCTGAAAACACATGCATAGTGTACTCATCTTTAGACATACCAATTTTTGCTAAATGCAAATGAATTAAACACTTTTAAAATAAGGTATTAATTAGGAATCTCCCAAAGGGCCATTCAGTGACAGTAAGGGACATGTGGATGTCAAGTAACAGACTTCCTGCTTGACTCCTAGATGACGTATCATGCTGTGATATTTTGGGTAACATTTGGGTTACTGGGTTATCCCAAGTAACAGCTGTTTTCCAGATGATCAAGTGTTAGAGGACCCCCAGGGCATGGCTGCAGAGACTGTCCTGGTGAAAGCTGCTAACTCTGCTTTCCTTGACTGCAGGTTTCCAGTGTGCACAGTCAACAGATGGACGACCTCTTCGACATCCTCATAAAGAGCGGAGGTAGGTCAGAAGCTGAACACTGGCCCAGGACAGGAAAGATCATTCACAAACAGCAGAGCTGAGCCAGCTCTAAACTCTACGCAAATCTGCAAAGCATGCCTGTGCTCCAATCTTGCTGCGGGCTGAGAACACTCCGGCTGCCTGGCCTGGGCTCCCTCAGCTGTTCTGTTAGGACTCAGAACACTACACTACAGTCATAAGGGCTGGTACTGTCAAACTTAATGACCCGGGTTTGATACCCAGGATGCACATGGCGGAAGAAGAGTACTAACCACCACAAAATGTTCTCGGACTTCCCACACATGCTGTAGTGGCCTACACACATAAAGTAATAAAGTGGAGGGATAAATTAAAATAAGTTTACAGTCTGTAAATCACACATTAACCACAGGAAAAGTCCGCCTCAGCTCATATGTCTTTAAAAATAAGCATAGAATCGGTTTTCCAGAAGCTTTTGAGGGTGCTTGTAAGCCAGTGGCAGAGCACTGCAATACAAATGTGAGGTGTAATCTTTTATCCCTGGCTATACACATACACATATGTACACACACACACACACACACACACACACACGTGTGCACAGGCCAGAAGTTAAAATCCTATAAGGAAAGCAGTCTTCTATGAAGTTGTACATCTGATTGCTGTTTCTCTATCTATAATGGAACATCATCTGACCAGAGGCTGACGTTCTGGCCAAGACTAGGCTAGTGAAGGACTCTTGCATCTGCATATGGGTCGTATGCTTAAGTGGAAGTCTTTGCTAAGAACTATATTGGTCTTTCGAAAACACGTTAACCTTAAAACTTAGGGGTTTAACAGTGAAATAACTATTTAAAAATCAGGGCATTCAATTTTTGCTCAGTCTGGTAGAGATAATTTTTTTTTCAATGATTGATAATAATTTTTAGGGGGCCAAAGAGATGGTTCTGTGACTGCTCTTCCTGAGGATTCAGTGTCAGTTTCCAGACCCACGTGGTGGCTCACAAACATCAACTCCAGTCCCTGGTGATTCAGCGCCCTCTTCTGGCCTCCATGAGCTCTGCACATACAGCACACAGGCAAAACTCCCAGACACACTTGACCTAAGTTCATTAAACCTCTCCCCTTGTGTATTTTCAGAAAAGTGAGATAGAATCAAACATGGTGATGCTCACATTTAATCCCAGTACTCAACAGGCAGAGGCAGGCAGACCTCTCCATGTTCCAGGCCAGATCAGCCAGGGCTACACATAATGAGAACCTGTCTCAAAAGCAGTGAAAGATGTTATTAAACGTCATCTCAGTGAGCACTCGTGTATAACAGAGGAATCAACACGTGACCGAGTAGGGCGATGGCTCCATCAATGTACGCTATGCAAGTCTGAGTTTGGTTCCTTCAGAACCCACAAAGAAAAGAAAAAAATGAGCCGACATTTGGTGGTTCTCATGCCTTTAAGCCAGCACATGGAGGCAGAAGCAGGTGGATCTCTGATTTCAAGGCCAGCTTGGTCTATAAAGCAGTTTTGAGGATGTCCAGGGCTATGCAAAGAAACCCCATCTAAAAACAAAACATATGCCTCTAGTGCTGGTGTGGGGAGATGAAGGAAAAGTGGGTCCTTTGGGCTTGTTGCCCTGCCATCAGAGCTGAACAGGTGAGCTCTAGGTTCAGTGAAGACCCTGTCTCAAAAAGCAGGATAGAGTTAAATTTAAGAAAGACATTTGACATCAACTTCTGGCTTACACACATACACACACACACACACACACACACACACACACACACGGGGCCCACCAAAAAGTAAAAGAGTGGGGGCTAGAAAGATAGTCCAACACTTGAGAGCACTCGCTCCCTGCTCTCGAAGAAGGCTGGAATTTTGTTCTCAGCACCCATGTTGGGCGGCTTTCAAGTGCCTGTGACCCCAGCTCAGGGGATCAGACACCCTCTTCTGGCCTTCTTGGGTACTTGCACACAGGAACACATTAAATATATAAGAATAAATTAAATAAATTATTGATGCTTATTGAGCCATTTGCCTAATGCTCCAAAATTAATATAACTCAGAAAAGAACAAGAATCCAGAGTAGCAGCTGGCCTGCCTCACCTTAGGGAGGAGGACAAAAGAGCCACTCAGCCTTGCACCGTAAGGGTTACTGTATCCTTTGGGAACTTTCTAGACTCTGACACCAAACCTGAGGGAAGTTCAGCGGTAATGACTAAAAAGGGTTAGATAGAGCATGGTATTTGTGTTTCTAGGACGTGAGAAGGGGTGAGGAGGTGTCACTAATGTGAAGTATGATGGCAGCATGTCCGTACTAACACCATCAATTCTTGTGCACAGAGATTTCCTTCCCTGTAAAAGAAGAGCCTTCTCCAATCTCCAAGATGAGGCCAGTGACAGCCAGCATCACTACAATGCCAGTAAACACAGTGGTGTCTCGACCACCACCCCAGGTCCAGATAGCACCGCCTGTCTCCTTGGAGCCGATGAACAGTATATCCACCAGCTTAGAGAACCAGCTAGAAGCCTTCTTGGATGGGACTTTACCCTCGACCAATGACATTGCCCCACTGCAGAGCAGCAGCGAAGACAGAGAGCCATTCTCTCTGATAGAAGATCTCCAGAATGACTTGCTGAGTCACTCCAGCATGCTCTACCCCTCCCAGTCTCCCATGGAGACCTCTGAGGCCCAGCTTGTGGCAGGGACCCCCTGTCTGTCTCTCGACCTGTCAGACTCCAACCTGGACAACATGGAGTGGCTGGACATCACCATGCCCACTGCATCCTCCGGGCTCACGCCTCTGAGCGCCACTGCACCAAGCATGTTCTCTGCTGATTTTCTGGACCCACAGGACCTGCCACTCCCATGGGACTAAGATCACTTGTCTCATTCGTGAGGTTCCAAAACATGAAAACAATCTTGAAGGGTCAGTGCTTAGAGCTATAGCCCTAGCTGCACTGTCGCCATTAAAATACATTGTCATACAAAACAAAGGACAGTCATAGCCTGGAAGCCAAGTATGAGAGCACCCATTCGTCCAGCAGTGACTCCACAACTTAGAGAGGAGGCCTGTGAAAGGCCTTAGATAAAGCCAAAGGTCAGGAGCCGTCCATAGGGAGTGGCCCTAGCGCTCTGGTCATCAGCCACCTTTCAACCTCTGTAGTCACCTCACGACCCTAATAAGAGGCAAGCAGCTCCCCTTGAACCACAAGGAGGGGAGAAGCTACTGCACATGTGCTCTCTAGAGTGGCCTGAACTGGGTCCATAGCAAGGTCAGAGGTGTTTGAGGCTCCGAGTTCCACTCTGACATCTGTGTGACTGTATGATGTCATAGGTCATTTTTTGAGTTTGGGAATCTCAGTGAACAGCCTCTCACCATAAGCATGTGTCTGAAAAATACTGTCACACAAGAACCCGGTGTCCAGAGTCCAGATGTGTTAGTGCTGTGGTTTTCCCAGTAGCCTCAGGTGGGTGAGCTTTGGTTCTCATGTGATGGTAGACATTGGAATATGCCCTGACCTTGTGATCTCTACAGCCTGCAATAGAGTAAAAGGATGGCCGTCCACTGGTCCTGCTTGCTGTAATAACTCAGATATCTCTAGATTACCTGAGCCACAGTATCTCCATCTTTGAAGACTTGCCGACAGACTCTCAGGTGACCATACCCATCTCAAAGAACCAAAAAAGGCTTCAACATGAAATTCCTTATTGAGCTACTGAGTTAGAAGAAGGGAACACGTGGAGTGTGTCAGACTCCCAGACAGTCCACCTTGAGCACAGGTTAGGCCTCCCATCACTAGATTCCCTGGTTTCATGCATAGGCTTGTAACCGGATGTTCTGCCTGCCTTCGGTGTGTTCTCAAGCCTACACCTAAAAACTGGAGCTTTTATTTTTTCTCTTGATCTATAAAGGAAAAATTATGTTGTCAAGTAATTTAAGAATTTCTAGAATGCCAACTGCCACAGGATTTCCCCAGCTCTTGATCTAGTCATTTAGTTATTGGCTAATTGTAAATAACTGAGCAGAGGATGGGGTTTCTGTTACATAGCAGCTTTATTCCCACCCCTTTACCTGAGCCAGATGGGCCTCCTGCATCAGTGCACAGCTTCTTCCACAGGTACCTCCAGGAAGTGGCCTGGCCCATTGTCTAGACAGAACCAGAATCATCTCTGAGGAGGTTTTGCCCCAAAGTAATCTTAGTTCCAGTTTGTACTTGTTTAATCCCACTCTGTGTCAAAATGGTCTCTGTTCCCAGCTTTAGCGTCTGAGCAGCGCCCCCTCACCTAAAGTTTGGCTTGCTGGTGGCCAGGGACCACTGAGCTCAGAGAGTCCTCTTGTTTAGGAACCGTTCGGTCACTCTCATAGGACATGTGCAGCCAAGTTGGTTCTGCTAGACAGCTGCTTGTGCCCTGGCCCCAGCTGTGGACCTGGTCAGAAACTTTCCACATGAGAATTTCAGCTCTAGGTCTTGGAGAGTTTTAGTCTTTTTTCTCCAGCTTTGGGTGTCCAGTTAAAGTAGTACCAAGTATCAGTGAGCGTGTGGGAAGCAGCTAAATGCCAGTGCATTTCCTCCTATAGGAAAACTCTGTAATTCTGAGTTGTGAATAGAGACAGCATTCTAGCCCTCAAGTCCCTTGCGTTGTTCTTCTTAGTTGGTTTGAAGCCGGCCACAAGAAAGTCATTCTCCAAACACAGTTGAGTACAGAGGAAGCCATCTCGGTGTTCATGTGCCCACCCTGTCCACTAGGGTCCCATTTCTTAAAACACCAAGGGGCCTCCAGCTACCGACTTCACTTGCAGCCAACTCACCCACAACATTCCTTGCCCTACTCTCCTGGTTCGAGCATCAGTGACTTGAGAGTGCTTGCTAGGCCTTCCCAGCATGCTCTGGGCCAGAGTGGGCATCTTTCCCACGTGCTCACATAATGCGTCATGACCAAAGACCACTCTACAGAGAAGCCTCCTGACATAGCTCTAGCCCTCAGCGAGTGTGTGGGGAAAGGTATGTGTCTGAAGATGACTTTGTTGTTTAGAACTGATGCAAGAGGACAGCGTAGGTAGGGGTGGGGGCTGCCATCGGGCCTGAGGAGCCCCGGCATCCATCTGATGGAAGGACAGAACTGGCTCCCGCAAGTTGCCCTCTAAGCTCCACACGCAGACACACCTGCAAACAGGTCAGAGGTCCTGTTAGATTCCCACTGTGCATGTACGTGTGTGGGGCGGCTTCTGTTTGTACCACGTTACTAAGGAAATCCCTCCTAGGAGCCTGTAGTGTCCAACCCCAGCCTCACGTTTCCACACAGTCGCAAAGTGCAGTGGCATCAACTTGACTTTGTAAAGTATAGATTTCCCAGCCATTTTACTAGGATGGGATGAGTGCATTCTAGAAGGCTGATGTGGCTGGGAGCCTCTTGGAACCCTCCCAGGGCTGCACCAGTGTTCACCCAGGCATCCTACAGAAGAGAGCACACAGAGATGCCCTGAATTCATTGAACTTTTCGCTCAAATACCATATGTGTTTGTTACACACAAATATTTTCTGAGACTTTACTAAAACCTTTTCAAAAGCTCCACGGTTCTCTGACCACATGCTATGCCTTGCTGGTCTGAGTACTCCAAAAAGCCAGGACAGCTCTGCAGAGCCAAGGAAATGGGCTCTCAGCACACATGCACCGTCAGCTGACCCAGAGGAGCTGGTGAGATCAGTGTCCAATTCGTCACCAGAGTGAGCTCAAGCCACCTGAGCCCCGTTATCCCAGGCAGGGTTCCCAGCACTTACAGCTGAGGGGGCAGCTGTCCCTCAAGTCAGAGGGCATTCTTTTTACTGCCCTTGAGCAGACCTGGCCCAGATCAGTGGCCAACAAGAGCCCACATCACATCTATACCCTTGGTTGTTCTCACGTAGCCAGCCTCAGAAACTGCTGATGGTAGGAGGCCAGGAACATGGGTACCGGCAGGACTACAGAGAAAGCCAGGAGCATCAGAACAACCAGGTCAGGCCCAGCAAACTCAAACAGCCTTGCTTGCTTCTATCCAAAATACCATATAACACTGAGGATATCAGATACACAGGGACCCACTGCCCCAGTGGACAGTTAGCCCCAGGTTACCCTAGCACAGTAACTGGAAGGCTAGGTTTATTAAGAAACAGTGTTCATGCTTACAGAAGGTGCATTTGGATAGCATCCTAAAAGTTCCACTCATTGTAAAAGAGTCAAAACTGGAAAATAGCAACTCACGTAGTCATTTTTCTCCCTGGTTCAGACTTTCAATCATCTGTTCACTCAGCAGTTCCAGTTTATTTGTCCGGTGACTGACTGTATAGCAACGAGCAGGTCGATTTTTCATCCGCTAACCCTCCCTGTACCTGAGGAGATGTGTCCCTGTGTCTTTCGTGTAAGGCCTGTGATTCAAGAAGCTGCACGTCTCTGAGAAGCTTTGCCCTCCACTGAAGCCCACTGCTCTGGGGAGTGGGGTGTCACAGGCTGGTGACAGCAGCTTAGCATCTTCGGTGCTGTCTGGAAGCCCAGTGACGTGACGACAGCAGCAGCAGCCGTGAAACAAAGCTCTATGCCAACATCCAGGAGAAAGCCTGAGAGAGTAGACAGACTTGCTGGAAGATGGCCCAGTTATGTTACCTCACCATCCTACTGTGAGGACCTTGCCCACTAGCAGGAGATGAAGGGTTAAGAAAGGGTTAAGAAAGGGTATCTACCGAAAGTACTTGACCTCAAGAAACCAAAAGTAATGCAGAATGCTTAAAGGAACCAAAGGCATCACCAGGTATTTGCCAAAAGCAGCCACTTTTTGTTTTAAAATTGAGACTAATGCGATCTCAAGTCAGTCCCAAAAAGGTATCCATTTACGGTTATAATTTTCAGAGAGATGTAGATATTTCTTTGTTTCCTGTAAAATAATATGGAGCTGTCGTGTTGGTTAAGAATAACATGCTTATGTGGTAGTCATGCAAAGCTGTTTGTTCTGAATCGAGGTCCAGTTCTCTGTTGCTTTCAGTGGACATGCAGGTGTCTCTTTCATCCTCACATAATGTCTTAGCATCTCACTTCCTGAAGAAAATGGGGGAGCACAGTGGGCAGCGCCATTCTTACTGAAGCACTAGTTTCATGAACAGGAAATCATGGCAATCGGGGGTCCATTTGTGTGTTGCCTTTATGTTGTTTTTAAAAGAAAAACCATGATGCCTTTGTATGTGCTGTTTGCACCCCTGCCTCGATTCGTACTGTGTCTGATGCCATACGTTTGCACATGTACTGTACATAGGCAACGCAGACTGTATTTTTATATGTGTGTGCATTTATCATCAGATCTTTTGTACATAGTGGCAGTATTGTAGCTGATCGGGAAATGTTTGATATCTCAGCGATTTTGCATTTTTGTGTCTCAAATAAAAACCATTTTGATGTACCATGACTTTGTGTGTACAGAAGAACACACTGTGGGCTATGAGACGGGGTGGCCTCGGGAGGGACAGGACAGCTCCCAGCCGAACAGCAAGTGGGCCAGTGGTGTGGCGTGTAGACCCTATAGGAAGTAGGCCACCACCTCATGTCTGCACAGCGCACAACAGAAGCTCATAGGATCTCACTGACCAGTAAGACCTCTTCTGTCCTGCAGAGAAAATGGAAGGCACTAAAGTATGTGGTCCTTGCTGCGGTATGGACACAACACTCTACGGTGAGAGCTGGCTCTTCTCTCATGGTGCCAAGAACACCATCAACAAAACTTCTAGACACCTAGAACTGAGCCCTTCAGCCAAATCTCAAAAGCAGCTACCTATGTAGAAAGTACTTTCTGACCCATATAAAATGCCCTGCAGTAGGAAGTTGTGGGGAGAGGCATTTCAGCCATGGTTAAGTTGAAGTTAGTTTTATTTTCTTAGTTTAGAAGAAAGCAAAAGGTGATAAGAAAGCATAGCTGATAAAACACATGTGACAGTCAGAGGAGCCTGGTCCCCAGCTACAGGAGAAAGCTAGTTAAATTTCGAGTTTTCTGTGTACCTTGGGTGCAATGGAGCCACCGACAGACCAGTGATGGAGCTGTCTGTAGTATCCTCGTGTTACAGACAGCTGTGCCTGCCTGTGGGATGGCCCTGCACTGGAGCAGAGGTAAGGAGAAAGAGGCCTGAGTCTGCTCTTTCCTTCTCTGCCAGGCAGCAAGCTCAGTGCTCCAGTTGGACTGTGGGAAGGGATCCACCAAGGAAGTACCCAGAAATTTTAGCTGGGTGGGTAGGAGACCACAGGCTCTAGGACGACTAGCCTGAGGCATTAGAATCTCCCACAGATACCTTTGTTTTTTCCTTGGTAGTACTGAGCTTTGCAAAGCTTTTCAAATGTTGGACAAAGTCACTGAGTGTGTAAAGTCCTTGACACCAAAACTCAGTGTTGGCTGCTG